TTGGCAAAAAATAGGGAATTTATCCTGATTGTAAGAAAAAATGTGGACTCTACTTTTCAAATTTTCCTTGCTGTCAAAAGAGGACCTTCTGGAAGCATATGTTCAGAGAGTGACATAGCTTGTGTGATTTGCCCAAAGCTCCAAACTATTCTCGTTAGTATGTGTGGTATGCAGTAGGAGAAGCTAGTGCGTGTCAGTAAAATTCCAAGAAAAGACTACTCAGCAGAACTGATTTTAAGGAACAACAGAATACACTACTTGGAAATGAATGGGGTTCATTTAATGCAAAAGACTTGATGACAGTTCTTTGATTGCTGAAGAATTGTGGGTGGTTCATATTAGACATCAAGTTTTAAAATAAGTTCCAAAGATCCACCAGGTAGGCAGGTTCTGTCATCTTAGCATTCAACTGGAGTTTGTTCTTTTGCCTAAGGAAATCATGCTTATGTGGTCTGTGTTTGTATCAGAAATGTTTGCTTTTGTTTTCCCTAATAATTAGGTTGTCATTATTGCATCATTGCATGGTTCATAGTGCTTTCATGGGACTCTTGAAAGCTGTATTCAGAATCATTCCTTTTCAGTCATTTTTATAGTGTTATTAAATCTTACTTGTTCAGTTGCTTATTTGTTTTCCTGATATTAAAGAAACAATACAAAATACCTATTTCAGGCTTTTATTTTATTTTATGTCTTTCTTGCACTCTTTCCTCTTTATTTCTCTTGCCCTTTCTTTTTTAGAAAGTAGCAAGGATATTTATTGTCAAAATAAGAGATAATAACAGAAGACACAAATTAATTTTTCTAACAATTTTAGACTCTAAGCCTTCTCTATTAGAAGGTCAGCTCTTTATGTAAACTAAACACTGCCAAGATTTTCTTTTACTGTGAAGTACATCATAAGGACAATTGGCAAAATCTCAACAGAGTTGTAGACTAGATACTAGTATTGTATCAAATTCTTGATTTTGACAGGTATGCTGTTAAGAAAAAGTTGTGTAAGAGAATGTCTGTTTTTAAGAAATTCACACTTAAGTGTTAAAAGGTAAAGAGAAATCATAACTGCAACTGAGTACACAAGCGGTTCAAGAAAACAAGACTGTGACAAGAAGCTTGACATGACTGGAACAGAAGCCCAGAGGTAGGAAGGAGGAAATAATGGCAACGTGAGGGGCTGCAGACTGACTTTGGTGCCATGATGGTGTAGACTAAGTTTTGGTTCTCTGGGAGTTGAGACTTGAGACTTTATCTTGTAAAGTCATTGAAATTTTTTGAGCAAGGAAGTGTCTTGATCACATTGTTTGGAGAGGAGATAGTGGAGTGTGGGAAGAGTCCTGGTGGCAGGGAGACCAAATGGGAGGAAGGATATTATAATAGTCTGTTGAAGGGAGAAACATTGAATTTTTTTTTTGAAGAATACAACATGCTAGTCCACTATACCAGGCTATTATATAAAATATATATAATATATTTTATTATATTATATATTATAATAAAATATAATTTTATATTTATTATAAAATAATAATATTTTATATTATTGTGAAGGTGTATAGCTCCATGAATTTTAACTTGTGTATATTGTGTATTCTGTGCCTGTCTCAAGATATGCAGTATTTTAAGCCTTCTTAAAATTCCATGGTTTCCAACAAGAATATCTTGTAAGGCACTAAAATTCATTATTAGTTCTGCTGGAAGCCAGAAAATAAGGTAGAGTTAAAGATGACTCCAAACTTGGGAGACTGGGTAGACTGGATGATGATGCTGGTCAATCAAAATAAGTAATAGAAGAAGAGGATCAGGTTTTAATTGAGAGAGGGGTGAGGATGGTGAGATAAGAAGTTCAGTTTAGGACAGGCACCGGTTTCTCATTCCTGTAATACTAGCTACTTGGGAGGCAGTTAGAAGCCAGCCCAGGCAAACAGTTCTCAAGACCCTATCTTGAAAATGCCTAACACAAAATGGGGCTGGTGGACTGGTTCAAAAGATAGAGCCCCTGAGTTCAAACCCCAGTACCACCAAAAAAAAACCATTCAGTTTTAGCCTCCTTGAGTTTGAGGCACCGGTGGAATGTAGAAGAATTACATGGGAGGCAGGTAGAAATACAAATTTGGAGCTCTGGAAGGAAATTTGGGATTACAACAGATACTAGTGTACTCATTAGCATGTAAGTTCTACTTGAGAACTAACAAATAGATTAGGATTCCCTAGGGGCTGTAGGTGTGAGATGACCTGAAGTTATGATAGGCCATTACTGTTTTTTGCTCTGTTTTTGTCCATAGTGAGTAAAATCTGTGGCAAAACTCACTTTCAGTGTTTTAAAAATAAATGACAAATGAAAAGTCAGTAATATATATTCACTGTAAAAAAAGAAAGAAAATAAAAATCAAACTGGTTTACATATAAGTAAGAAGTATCCCTTCTTCCCTACTTCACTTCCTGCCACCAGTCTTTTTTTTTTTTATTGTTTTATTATTCATATGTGCATACAAGGCTTGGGTCATTTCTCCCCCATGCCCCCACCCCCTCCCTTACCACCCACTCCACCCACTCCCTCTCCCCCCCACTGCCACCAGTCTTATGTCTCCTTCCAGGCAGCTTTCAAGCATATATAAGCAGGTATATTATACATGTAATTTATCTTTTGATTATACTTTCCCACTATTGCTTTGGTTAAGAGTGCCTTTTCAGGTGCGTAATGAACATGGTTGACAGCCTATAGGTATGTAGATTAAATAGCCTTGTTGGTTTGATTTTTTTTTGTTTTCCCCTTGTTTTATAGTGGTATGCCTGTACTGTTGACTGAACAAATTTCTTTTCTTAGCTTTTTTTTTTTTTTTTTTTATTTTCTTGAACAGTAATTTTACTGTTGAAGCAAGTGTATCTTGGTGAATACCAAGAGTGCCTAAATCTTGTATAATACTAACATAGCGTTACATTCTTGTTTGTTTCTCATGGACATGTGTGTTTCTTCAACCTGGAGGGAGTGTAATATACTAGTATTTTCTTGATTACATCATTGATAGTATAACTCTCAAGTTAAAAATGATTGAATGGCTTATTAAGAGCCCTCCTGGTGAACCTAGAATTTGAAACACACTATAAGAATTTTAGCCCATGTTTTGTTTACAGTGAACTTGAGACTAAAAAACATTAGATCTAAGCTCTAGAAATGGCCTAAAGTTACCTGTGTAATCACTCTAACTTAATCTCTTCTTTGCTAGAGTACTTGTTCTGAAAGAGCATAATACATGTTTTTATTAATTGAACAGATATTTATTGTGCCCCTATGAGATGTCACTTTAAGTAGTAATAAAAGGAAATGTTATTTAGTGTTAACTCTTTGTTAACAATAAAAGCTATCCTGGATGGATGTGAAACAGTGAACAAAGCAGGCCAGGTGCTTTTCCTCATGGAATATTATGTAAGATGGTAATACTCTTAGTGTTATTGAATCATGTGAGAGGTAAAATTTAGTGTCAGTACTTAGAGATCAAATAATTTTGTTCTCTCTGAGTTCTAAGACTTTTCTACCTAAGAAGTTTTCATATCAGTTGGCCTGTCCATTTTGCCCCTGCATGATGAGGGTCATTGGTGGTTTGATTTAAACCACATTTCAAAAGTCACTTTATAGTTAAACCTTAGTTCTTTACAATATGTTTAATTTTAAATAAGGCTATTTAGAATCTCACACAGTATTTACAAGCAAACAAATGGACTGGGGATGTAGCTTAGTGGTTGAGCACTTGCCTAGTACATGTAAGGCCATATATTTGACCCTGTATTCATAACAACAACAACAGGCTAATTAATGATTTGACTGGCTTTTTCCTAGATAGTCCAACCTATAGTATGAATTTACTTGTCTTGCTGTTTAGGGATGTTAGAAATAAAGGAGGATATCTTTAACCATTGCAGTTTTGTCACGTAAATTGGCTGTCTATAGTTAGAGACTATGGGGCTGTGTAACTCTCCTGGCTTTTTAATGTATACAATTGAGGATGAGTAGTTTAAAAAATTTCATAGTTGAGGAGAGTTTGGCACTGGTATTAAATATAGGATTCTTAAGGCAAAGCATTTTCAGATGCAGTTCTGTATAGAGATTACCAGAATAAGTGATTTAAAAACATTTTTTTAATGTATCTTAAACTGCTTTTCATTCTTTGCCCAGATTTAACAGCTTCTGTTTTGTTTTTAATTTTTATTAAACAATTTCCTTCCTTTCTTCTCCTCCCTCCCTCCCCCAGGTTAGCTGTGAACTCCTAGGTTCAAGCCTTCCCCCTGCCTCAGCCTCCCAAGTAGCTGGAACTATAGGCAGCACCACTGCACTCAGCTATCTTTCCCCTTTTGTACACTGCTGGAGCACACTTTGTGCATAACAATTTGTGTTATCACTGACAAAGGTTAATATGAACCATGTGTTTCCAAAGTGGCCTGCCTGCTGACTGTTACTTGAAATACTATGGCTGGGTGCTTTAAGAATGTGTGGTAGTAAGGCATTTACACATATTTTTATATTCTAAAACTGAATTTATTGTTGGAACTTTTGGTCACTTCAGTGGTAAGCTAATACAGTATTTTTCAGAATAGCTTTCTCTTTGCTTATTTATTTTAAAAATTTTCTTTATTAGAACAAAGGAAGTTATGCTCCCTTCAATCATAGCATTTTAAAATCTATTTCAGAAAATTAAATTGTAATAAAAAACCAGGTTTAGGCATTGTTTAGTAAGTCTTCCTTATTCTTTTCTTTTTACACTGTTCATGCATTATTTTTAATAAAAAATAAGCATACCCTGCTTAGATCCTAGTGTTTCATTGGACTATTACTTATATAATTCTCAAGGAATAATTCAACAAATCTCTGAGGACTTAGATTTTAAGTAGAAATCTTTTTCTTGCAGTGATTGTTTTTTGCTTATTTATTTATTTATTTATTTATGTGGTGGTACTGGGGTTTAAACTCTTGCAGTGATTGGAATAAGCATTTTTAACTTCTCTTTCAGATTCATCATGTTACAGAAAATGGAGGACTATATAAAAGACCATTTAATGAGGCTTTTGAAGAAACACCCATGCTGGTTGCTGTGCTCACATATGTGGGGTATGGTGTACTCACCCTCTTTGGATATCTTCGAGATTTCTTGAGGCATTGGAGAATTGAAAAGTGTCACCATGCAACAGAAAGAGAAGAACAAAAGGTAATTGTTACATCTTAGATTTTGTAAATGGAATCCTTTTATAGAAATCTTAGAAAAAACTAGCTTTTTTCCTTAGAAATTTGGGCACATTAAAATACATATTTCAAATGTAGTTAAACTTTGTGAAAACGTTGCACAAAGAAAGCTGAAAGCACGGTTGGAGGCATGGAAAAATCAAACCACTTAACGTATTTTTAATTTAGTCACTATAAGAATTTAGGTCTACTGTTTCATGAGGTAGGGAGTTAAAAATGTATCTGAAGATGCCTAGCATCAGAGCTGGTATGTGGCCACAGGAGTGTGAAGTGCCAAAGCTACATTCTTTCTGTTCAGGTTTCCTACTGTGTTCCACATTGTGTTTACAGTCATCTGCAAAGATTGAGTTCTCATGGTGTGTTTTCTCCTGGACACATTATACATAGTTGTCAGGTTCACAGATCAGCTCCTCTACCTAAACAAACAAGCCCTAAAACCAAATGTGGCCTAGCCAGTCTGTTTACAGTAGCAAAGGATCTTGTTTTAGTAATGGTAAACAGAGATAATTGTGGCTCTCTCTCCCAGGAGGAGTACCTCTTTCACTTCTTCATTTTTCTCAATGAACTTTTTTATGGTTTTAAAGTTTTATACAATACACATGTATTACCTATTTGTAATAAACAATAGAGACAGGGTTTTAAAAATGCCAGATTTTGCTAAAACTAAAACAAACTTGTTTGCTCTTGAAATGTGAATTATGGAGAAGTTGTCTTCCAGGCCAGGAGATGTACCAAGTTAGAGAAAGGCTTAAGATGTTAGCTTCATTTATTGTCCATCATAGCTCTCACTCTTGTGGAACATTAGAGGAGAGAGACAGGTGTGGGGATGCCAAGGTCACTGAGAGAGGAGCCAGTGAAGAAAGGGAAAGAGTACATATCAAGAAAGGGCTGAGCATGGTGGCATGTCCCTATAGTCCCAGCTGCTTGGGAGGCTGAGGCAGGAAATCGCTTGATCCCAGGAGTCACAGGCCAGTCTGGGCAACACAGCAAGTCCCTGGAGAATAAAAGGCATTGTCAGCTACTAGGAAAACAAAACCAGTCAGTGTATGTAAGGGTTTAGAATTCTGACACCCGGGAGAACTCAGGATCAGGTGTCCTTCTCTCTCATCTTAGCCATTTTGCACCCCTTCGCAGCCCTAGTACCATAATTTGGGCATCCTGCTTATTACATCAAAATGAGTATGAGTTAATTTCATTAAGAAAATGTTTATTTTAAAGAATGTCTATTGCAAGCAGAGCCTTGTATTCAGAACTCAATCCAGTAGGCAAAAATAATTTTCACCACTGACGGTTTGAACACATTTTTAAATTTCTTTGATTCTGCTTCTGCTCTACCTCTGAGTGCATCTACCCAGAGTGCATCCAAAACATGTTGATTTTTGTACACCCCTCAGTTACAGCTTCCTATGCATTTATTGTGTTGAACAGTATTTCATTTACTTGTTCACAAGCTCAAGGTCATCCATTCCTCTAGACTAATTTGGTGATGGTTGTGACTGATGGTAGCTGACACTTTATAGCATAGGCAAAGGCATGAGGAATGTTTGGGAAGACTTGAAAATGTGGATATATGAGGAATTGTGATTTGAATGTCAAATGAAGAAGTTTGACAGGCAATAAGGAGTCCTGGAAAGTTTTTGAGCAGGGGAGTTGATTATGGCTTACACAACTAGAACTCAAAATGTGATGAATGAGTGAATGAATGAATGAGTGAAATAATGAAGAGGCATCTGAGTTACTTTGTAAATGAGTCATTATCTTTTGAACTTGTTTTGTGTTTCAGAAGATGAGTTAACTGTTTAAGTACTGAGGGCAACTTGTATGTATTTAATATTATGTGAGAAAATTAGAACACGGAATTTATTCTTAATCAGTTTCTAATATTGTCAAGGAAACAAACACTTCAAATGTTTGCCTTGCCTGGGCTGGCTTCGAGCTGTGATCTGCCTGATCTCTAGGATTACAGGCATGAGCTACTGGTGCCAGGCTCCAAAACCATTGTACAAGTAAATAGTGCTTAGATTGTATGAAAATGTAGAACAGAAAAATAATCTGAGTATTGTAGGGTTAATTAGGAAGTAAACCTTGGAGGAGTAATAAGAGGAAATGGGGGGGAGCCAGTGGGATGGACATTTACCTCTACCATTTGTTGAGATAATTGTGCTAAATTATTCAAATTCATTTCAGTGGGATTTTCACAGTAAATAACAGCACTTTAAACAGTTAAATTCTGCTATTCTCTTATAAAATCCAGCTTTTAGAAAGAAAAGGATTATTAAGTCTTATGAGAAATTTGTTTCCTCATGCTATAGAGATGTAGTAGAAAGCGCAGGCAGATTTAAGTGTTAAACTGGAAAGGTGTGAGGGAAAGTGTTTGCCTGGGATATAAAATGCAAATATATTGCTGCTTCCTCTTTTCACTGAGTGAGTGGTATCCAGAGCCACATCCTGATCTTCTTCTTCATTCCATTACAAAAGAGAGCCTGATTTAACTGTATGTGTTAGTTTTTTATAGAGAAAAGTAGTGTGTTGCTTTGGGTCCACCTAGATTACATGGTCACACTAACAAAGACGAGTGATCATGAGTTTGTTCTATTTTGAATGAATTGCATAAAATTCTTAGAATTCTTTATCATTTGATCCTCTGTAGTGGTGTTTTGAACAAGAATATTTTTTCCCAGTTCATAGTTTTTTTTATGTGAGTTGATGCTAGTAGTCCAGAAACATGTATGTAATAGACATAGGAAAGGTTTGAATTAATAAAAATGTTCTAATATACAGATAGGAAATACCTAGAAATCTAAGGTGTAAAGTATGGTGTGCTAAATTGAAAACTAACATTTTGCCTCCATAGCATGTTCATGATCAGATAGTCAGAAATGGGGGGGGAAGGGATATTATGAATGCATATCCTGATACATTCAATTTTCAAGGTACAAAAGAAGGAAATTGATTGAAATATATTAATTAGAGTTCCTGGAAGGATTTTATTCTTGATCTCCTTCAAAAAATAGCTTAAGCAGAAGGTGTGGCTCAAGTGGTAGAACACTTACCTAACAAATGCAAGGCCCTGAGTTCAAATCCCAGTACTGTCCCCCTCCAAAAAAAGTAGCTTAATATGAATATTCTGATAATTGTCATTTTAGCAGTATCTTTGGAAACTCCCAATTACAGTGTATAATTGCCTAGTGTATTAAGCTAGGGGATTAGTCAATTGGTCTGTCTTTGGTTCTGTGGGTCATTACACATTAAAAAAGAACAAAACTTTGTATTGTGTGGAGCCCTGGACAGCAGTCATCTTTTTAAAAACAGCTTTACTGAGGTATAATTTATATACCCTAAAGGTCACCTGTTTAAAGTGTACAATATGGTGGCTTTTAGTAAATACCATATTTAATTTTATAATATTTTCTTTTCTCCAGAAACTCTGTATCCATTAGCAGTTATTGCTTCCTTACCCACCTGCCAGGAAACTACTGATCTATTCTGGACATTTCATATACAAGTATAATCTTTTATGTGGCCCGTTTCACTTTGCATAATGTTTTTGAGGTTCATCTATGTTGTAGCATGATCAGTACTTCCTTTTTTATTGCTAAATAATATTCCATCATATGGAACTCCTTTTTATTTACTACCCTCTTTTTATTTATCCTAGGGGCTTCTCACTGGTAAGAAGCTATGCCCAAAATAAAATTTTTAAAAGAATTTTGCAGTACATTTAGTACTCTATTCTTCTCCATTGCTGCCTGTATTAAGTTTGCAAGAGTTTCCCTATCATCTATTGAAGTTTTTTGTTTGGAGCAACTATGTAGCTTTTTTGGTTTTTGGCAGAACTGGGGTTTGAACTTAGAGGGTGCTCTACCACTTGAGTTATGCCTCCAGCCCCTTTTGCTTTAGGTTTTTTAGGTGTGGTTTTTTTTTTTTTCTTTCAGTACTGGAGTTTGAACTTAGGACCTACACCTTGAGCCATTCTACCAACCCTTTTTCTGTGATTTCTTTTTTTTTTGAGAGGGGTTCGTGAACTACTTGCCCTGGACTGACTTTGAACCACAATCCTGATCTCTGCCTCCCAAGTAGGTAGAATTTCAGGCATGAGCCACCACCGCCTGGTTAGGCTTCAATCTTTTAACTCAGATTTTCTTTGCATATAGCAGCTTGAAACTGTTTTACTATTAGCTGGGAATGTAAGAGTTTAAATAACTGGTTCTTATTTCATTTTCTGAATTGTTCCAAGATTAAATTTGGTGCCATTGGGATATTAAAGTGGTAAAATGATTTTAAAATGCTTATTGATAATGAGACTGGATGCAGTGACTTATGCCTCTAATCCCAGCTGCTCTGGAGGGGATTGAGAGGATTGCAGTTTGAGGCCTGTCTGAGCAAAAAGTTAGTGAGACACCCCTCCCCTCCATCTTAACCAAAAAGTCAGTGTAGTGGTGTGTGCCTGAAATCCCAGCTACCTGGAAGGCCATAGGTAGGAGTATCATGGTGTGAGGCGAGCCCTGGCAACAACGTGAGACCCTACTTGAAAAATAACTTTAGCAAAAAAGAAAAAGTATCCAAATGGAGAAATAAAATTTAAAAATCATAGTAGAGTTTGTAGATTCTCTGTACTGCCCCTCAGCCCTCAGCAGTTTTTAGATTCTAGTTAGGAAATTTCCTTAGACTTTAAGCTATCTTATAGTTCTATTTATATTTTTCCCTAAAGCATCTTGAAAATGCTGTATCAGTTTTGGAAGCAAAAACTAATAATGCAAAATGTGACTGACTCTTCTTGAATCCAGCCATCCAATAGGGCTTGTTAGAGGTAACGTGATGACTGGCCAGTCCTCTGTCACTCCTGTGTAATACACACCCGACTTGGCTCCTGCTACAGTAGTCTTCCTCTCTGCACCATTCCCCTTAGCACTTAGGCATGTTATTTAATTTATTTATTTTGAGACAGGGTCTCATCCTTGAATC